AAAAGCCCGCTGCTTAATAGCGCATATATTTGATTTTCGTCGAACGAGTAGTCTGGAAAAACGCATTTCGTACATTTCGCATATTAAAATGCTAACGAAATCAAACCTGAAATTTGGAAGGGGATGATCGGAGCTTGCGCGTGCAATGTAAAATTCAAATTTAATAATTCGCGCATTTTCCATATCGTAAGCAAATGTCAAATTCTGAGATGTCATTGCACTTTCTCGGTATTGCGTGTCTTAACGAGGTTTCGTTGTCTTTCGCCCGCGCGCGTTGTTTCTATAGTTATATTAATATTGATACATCAGCAGCATCGCGCGGAAATTTGCATAAGACCGTCATCATAGTGCATAAACGCGTCGACCAATGAAATGCCCGACGTAAGCCGCTATATTGTACTGCGCGAAGCTTATATACCGGGAGCCTCATTGCTCAGAGACGCTTATACGCTATGCTCTTATGTAAATTTGCCTGCAATAGGCTTTAATTTACAGGCCGCATTAACAAAAGCACAAATAGCAATTCCCCTGCAAAGATATTCAGATGAAGAAGGCGAGCTTTCTTGTCAAAGGAGCTCCGATTCACTGTCTATCTAAATCTTAATTGTTCATAACTTCCAAGTTTTAACATATACCGAAATTAAGCTTCTGAATTAAGATTTAAAAAGAGATAACATTAAGTATTAATTTAAAATTATAGAAAAGTCAATTTAAATTTCAACAAATAATTTATCTACGAATTAATTAGTGTACAAGTCCCGAGAGATCATTTAAAGAGAAAACGACCTACTGGGACGTCCTCTTATCATATCGATAAAAGTGTTTCGCAAAAAATATTGGAAGAGCGAATGAGCCGTGAAAGTAAGTCAACTAATGTCCAGGACGACGTCACCTTGATTCGCCCCGAGACATTGCCGACGAGACATCTGGAAAACTTGCGAATTAAGAGATTCGTCGGCGACGCGAACGGAGGGTAGATCATTCGATTATTTCCAGCCATTAAGAGAGCCCCTTCTTGTCCCACCCCAACGTCACGAGGGTGAAACGTTTCTCGTAGCTTCTTTCCGAACTTTCGACATGAGTTTTACATTTCGCGTCTGGATGAGGAAGGATGAAGAGGCATCGGAATGACGGTGAGGGAGAGAAAGAGAGATGGCGAAATCGAAAAAGCTGGGAGAGAACCGACCTCCTTCGTCGGATTCTTCGGAAGGCGAGGCTGGCACATTCGACCCCTTCGTATATACGAATTGGTATTCCGGTCCGGTGCACCAATATTGCGTTACCGAAACGCGTCGCGCAAACTGAATTTAAACGACTACGAGCGACTGACGACACGATGCCGCTTGTAAGTCACACCGCGGTGCGTGTCTTTTAATTCGCGCCCAGCTCCGAAATAAACATCCCGATGAGATGAGCGCGATTGAGACGTCGCGTTCGCGTCGACCGATTCCTCTCGGATCGGCGAGGGCTGCCGGAATTTATTATAAAAGTCGCAATTTAATTCGACCAAAAACTGGCTATTCGTTTATTGAAAATACGTTTCGACCCACATTGTGGTCCTTTTCAAGTGTTGTTCTTATTCAGCAATTATATTAATTAAAAATAGAAACATGAAAGTTGTCCTGTCATATCGACAATCTGTTAGCTACTGAAACTTTCATGTTTCTATTTTTAATAAATTTGATAAAAGGCTGTTAAGAGCAGTAAATATAAAAATTCAAATTATGTTGGACAGAAAGTCATATATAAAAAAAATATTCTTTAATATAATGTTTACTGATAAATTACAATAAAAGGTGACAAAAAGAATTAAAACATAAGTACTCTTTAAATACAAATATAAAGCGGTATTTCTATTTTTAATTAATGTAATTGCTGAATAAGAACAACACTTGAAAAGGACCACAATGTGGGTCGAAACGTATTTTCAATAAATGAATAGCCAGTTTTTGGTCGAATTAAATTGCATCTTATTATTTGTGAAAATTTTATCACTGGCGATCAACAATTAATTGTGAAGATTTTTTATTATAAAAGGCTCTATGAGCGAGGGAAAAATGATTTTTCGGGAGCTCAATCAATTATGTGTAAATCAGTGTTACCAGATGTAAAACTGAAATTTCCCCACTCAAGCTTAGAAAGGTCTTTAAAATTTCTTGTTTGAAATTTAAAAATTCTCTACTTATTCCGAAAATTTCTTACCCATTTCAAAATATTTGAAAATAAAGAAAAACAATATTAAAGTATCCATTTTTAACAAATATATTGTATGTATCTATTTAAAAAAACGAATAAGTCAAAATTTCTCTTAAACAATAGTTAAAAGTTGTAAAAATAAACAAATTTTTATTTTAGAAATTGAGCAAGAATATTTTTTCGCAATAATAATAATAATAAAACTATAAACTATTATCGATAATAAAATATTAATAATAGAATTACATAAATAAATAATTATGAATCAAATTATAGTTATTACCTATCAAATAAGAAAAATAAAAGTAACTTATTATAGATATTATCGCTGATCGACAAGGTGAATTTTTCTCATCCACTTACGTTGTCATCCTCGACTTTCTCTCCCCTATAAATAACGCATGGAAGAATACATACTATATTCGAAAAAAAAAAATTCCACGGTAACCTACACAAAGGATCGGCCGAACAATTAACTAATTTTCGTCCAGTTCTATTTCCGGTTACTCTCCGCGTATCAATTCTGCGAATTTCGATTATTAAAAGAACATCAAAGCGGAAGTGAATTGCTATTGTTACTCATTTTTAACCGGCGGAAATCCGAGCGAGAGAGTTAAACAGCATTACGTGCGGGTGTCTGGCCCGAGGGCGGACATCACAGAGAGAGGGTGGCCTCTCGCCGCGCCGGTGAAAATTTTCAAAGGCCCGACATCGATGGGCTCTCGCTCGCGCGCATCAGAAGCGTGGCGGAACCCTTTCCGCAATTTCTCCGCTCGCACGGGCGCGGAATCAAGTGTTTGAGATTATGATGGTAGCTCCGGTCACGTATTTCATTAACCGTCATGCCGACAGTTCGGGGAGTTCAAGGGCGAGATTTCTGGCGACGGAGGGTGCAGGTATCTACGAAATGTATTTGCTTTACGTTACATCCCGAGGGATGATCCCGTTATAATTATGAGTGTCGTTGTTGTCGGCATGGTAAGTATCGGATATAACGTCGTCAATCCTGGCATTAGTTTCGTGAGCGAAAACATCTCTGTCTTCTTATCTTCTACTTATTAGTTGTTTACTATCAACGCTTTGTAGAACAAAAATCAATGGAAAAAATCAAAAAATATATAAATATATATCGCGATTACATTGATTAATTTTATATATAAAATGAATTTAATTATTACGTCAACGTGTCAACGTCCAAAAAATAAAAAGAAATAAATAAAAAATATATTACAATTAATTTTATATATAAACATGAATTTATATATTTATTACGTCAACGTGTCGCAAAGGTCAAGGTAAATATGAGGATCCAATTTATGATTAGCGGAGTTCCGTTTAATTGGCGTGTGCGATCACCCGTGTAAATTAACAAGCAATTCTCTCTCGGATAATAAATCCTCTTATCGCGGCGAAAGAAGAAGCGTTTCTCTGTCCGCGAATCAAGAAGTCAATGTAAATCTACGGCGGTATCGGCAGACTCGTTTGCGGCTACACGCTGTGCCGCCCCTTTGAAACGAGCAGCGACAGATTGGTATTACCATATTGGGAAAGGGACTAGACTCCTTATTTCCCTATCCTTTTGCCGTTGCGGGAAAGAAAAAAAACTGTGGAAAGAGAACACTCTCTCTCTCTCCTTCCAGCGTCTCGTTTCTTCTACTTCGATCGTCTTTCCGGTGCGGCTCTCCATCCCCTTTCTTACCTCCTCCCAAACCCCCGATATACTATTCCTTCCCTCGCGCTTTCTTTTTTCACGAGATTCTCGCGTCCCTTTTTCCATCTCGGGCTCATCCGATTCTCGTCCACGAAGATTTCAATCTTGTTTGGCCGAAGCACCGACACGTCCTCATCTTCCTCTCGATTTTCTCCGCAAACTGCGAGAAATCCCTCCCTCCCTCTCTCATAACACACATTTTTCCATCCCTTTCCGTCCTCCCGGTTTTCGCGTTTAAGTGAAAAGAGACAGTCGACCTATAGAGGGATCCTGTATCATCGATCGGCATTTTCGGCGAGAATTGTCGCAAAGCTCGCCTTTTTTTCCTCGCACAACGAACGACTCTTCGATTTTTGCGCCGTCATCTATCTCTCCCTTGATTCTCATTGATAATCTCGAGATTTCGATGTCGAATCCGGTCGACATTTAAAGACCGAGAGTTTTCTCGAAAAGCGGTTTTCCGCTCACGCTAGGCCGAAGCGTTGTTTCGCGGACCAGGAAAAGTCTTTTCCAGTCTATGAATACATTAGGAGCAAACAAAGGGCCGTCTCCCATAATCCCGCGACCCTTTTCCCTCCCTAACCTCATCCCTCACTTTTCACTCCGGAGACGTTACACGCGTTTATTAAATCCGGCCCGCCAACACGCTTTCTTAAGCACTTTACGAGAGCCCGAGCGAGCTCTTCCTCTCGCTGTCCTGCGGAGACTTGACGTTTCGCCTCTTTCCATTCTCTCTCGTCGCGGTATTATTGCGAGGCAGACGCAATTAAAATCGCGTCCATTCAGCTGCCCTAAAGCTTGTACCGGCGTACAAAACGTGAGATTTTATAATTATCGGTACGAATTTTTAGCATGTCTATTGCACGGAGATAACAAATATTTTAATCGATATTTTGTTTATTATTACGATTATATAATGTGCATAAATATAATAATATATGAATTTTAAATCGGCCAATAGAGCCCAAGCGCGAAAAATTAATTCTTCGGAACTGTATCTCTTGGTTTGAAATTACTAAGTTCCATATATAAATTAATATCGAACTTACATATGGAGAAAAATGTGCATAAATATGTTTTTTTTTTTTTTCAGACTGAAATCTGTTCGAGTGCTCTTACGGACGTAATTCACGCGGTCATCAATGGAACGGATGGGTGTCTATTTTGTTTTGGGCACGCTGGATTAGGTAAGTTAAGAGAAGTTTTTTTTTTGTAGCGAGACTATATGATGTTTCTTCCTGATCAATTTCATTGTAATATTGGTTTTTACTCCTATTTGTAATTTATTTTTTTTTCTTAACTTATTATCTGAATATAATACCTAGAGCGCATAAACAACATTCTTGCATTTCTCAAGAAAACGTGTAGAAATTATGGAGCTTCTTCAAAATTTAATACATAAAATTCCCCAGAAATAATGCCTGCTTTAAACACTGTTGTGCATGAGTTAAGACAATATCTTGTAAACTTCTTCGTTTTCTATTCAACAAACTGTCTCGTTTCGTATAGACGAAATTTCATTGGCACTATAATGTTAAATAAAACTTGCCAAAACGAGTTTGTGAGAATAATTATGTGAATTATGAATATCTCGCAAATTTTTGTTCTGATGGCTCTTATATCTGTCAAATACAATATATTATTTTTATATCACTTACTTGAGATATTGCGATGTTTTGTCGTGTGTTGGAATTGAAGCTCTGAATTTCATCTAAAACAAAAAAATTCGATTGCCATGTAATGACGCAATCACTACAATGCACATATGTAATATAACAAATTATTATTTCTACATTTTAAAAGTATCAAAATATAAAGAATTATTGAACAGATTTTAAAAATAATTTATATTTATCTCTACAGTAGATAATTGGTTAAATACATTTTTTATTTATAATATAAATATAGAAAATTATAAACTAATTAAGAATTGATAAAAAGAAGTTAAATATGAATTAATAAACTTGCTTACATAATTTAAAATTTCACGAATTATTTATACGAGATGTTTCATAGTTCGAATATTCTCCTTGAGCCGAGAAATATATTATTCCAGAATATCAACGATATATATATATATATATCCTCTTGAGAGAAATGTCGCGAGGATTCTTTATATATTTTTTCTCTATTTCTTATTCTTTATTTATTTAGGCATTCCTTTTTCATTTCTTCTCGTTCTGCTGCTGCGAGGAACGCACCGATAGAAGCGCAGAGTTGTTTTACATTTTAAGTAGTGATATCGAGTTTGCATGCAAATGCACGATTATGGAAAGTACACAGAAGGGAGGATGTTCTCGGGTGGTAATGTCGGTACGGAAAAAGAGTGAGAAAAGGGAAGAAAGTGAGGAGAGACGACAATGAGGAACAGTGAGGTGAGACCGGAAGGAATGGCGATAATGTATGCCACTGGGACACACTTTCCCTTTTCGAATCTTAATACAGCACAATCAAAGAGAGAGAGGACCCTTCGCGTCATTGCACATTTCCTGTGCTACGATAACTTTTAGACTAACGAGTTTGAAATATTTTATACCGAATGAAAAGCATCTTGTACAAAGGATATATTTTTAAGTATTAAAATATTATTAATCTCAAATATAATATACTTTTATTCCGATGAAATTATAATTAAATACATGTTTCATATAAAGTTTATAAATAACTATTTCAGAATTGTATATGTACGTGCATGCAAAATTGTTTTTTCTTTTATTTAGATATTTATATCAATTTAGTGTGATTGAAATAATAGTCCTACTGAATCTTTTTTCTTTTTTTTTTTGATCGAGATTGTGATCGCAAAGAATGTTCATTAAAATATTTTTGATATCGACTATAACTGGAATAAAGTTTTGATAACGCGATAGAGACGTCTACTCTCACAGTCGGTATCAGAACCAATTAAACTTCGTAGAATGATATTTCATGGAATAATATTTCTGCACCGAGTCTCGTTGTATACATTTTTCGCTGGAGAATTTTTTATATTTGATAGACAAGCACGGGTGAAAAGTTGCTATATTTCGATAAATAAAATAATCATAAAATTAAACGCAATACATCGCATTATAAAAAACCTGAGTTGTCCTCTTATGTAAATTGCTAGATAATTTTATGTGTATATAAATATTTGCTAAAATATAAAAATTACGTTCTCGATAATTATCTCGAAGTCCCGCAAACAAAAAACATTATCTATCCAAAGAGAAACCACATATCTCAAATTAATTTCAGAATCGAATAAGCTTGCAATTTTTTTTTTTTTTTCAAGCACGACCTTTAGTCGATTTCCGTCGTTCCTGGACTGATATGGTTTCATAATTCATGTCGCGTTGAGAAATCGTCGACCCTTAATGTCGAAGTTCGCGCGATCGAGCGGGATTTCTTGCGGCGCGAGAAAGGGAAAGTCGATAAAGTCGAAAATAAAAGGAAGCGCGTCGGAGAGATAAGAGAGCCCAACGACCGTAGACAAAGAACCGTGCAAAAAGAAGCCAAACGAATTCACGCAGTCTTCCCTCTCTCTTTCGAAAATACTCGAGGCAAGTCCGCGAGCAAAACTGCTTTTGATCATCTCTACGAACGTTTTTCTCTCTCTTCTTCTTTTCTCCTCGCTCTCCTTCCTTCTCTCACCCCTTTCTAGATCCCGATTCTCTCCTAACTCCTTACGTCATCATCCTCCGAAGGTGAAAAGGAAGACGAGAAAGAGGGACCGCGATCGCGGTTAGAATAGGGATAAGAAAAGCAGGATGCAAACTAGGGGGAAAAGCCAGATTTGCATGAATCTGCTGAGACAAGAAAAGGAAGGAACTCGCGCCAGAATCGAGGCCCTTCAACCAGACCGGGGCTATTTAAAATAGTGTCCAGAACATAGTGCCTTTTATTTCACACGCACGATGTGCATGCGTCGGTGCAACCAACTGCATTTCGCCCGCATACGCATCTGTCATTCGCGGTCTAAAAAATCGCTGGAAAAAGAGCGTAAAGAGGAGCTACGAGGGAAGAAAGACACGGCAGAGGATAAGCTGAAAGGAAGGAGAACGATGAAAGAGAGAAAAAAACGAGAGAAAGGAAGAAAGAGACAGTTTTGCGCTTTCAAAGCAACGGGACCTGTTTCTTGCGAAGGGACAGAGAGATAGAAGAGAGCTGTAGCGTATATATATATATATATGTATAATATATAGATATAGTAACGACAATGGGCCCGTTTGTACTTTGTAGCGCGTTCCTAATTACCCCCGCGCGGCGGACACCTCGTCGAATCCTTTGAGATCGCGGAAGGACCGTGAAAGTGGATTATGCAACAACGAGGGGAAGAAGCACGCGTGCTTGATGCACCGAGACTTCCCGTCCCCTTTCTCAAAAACGGTGCCTTTGACAATGATAACCTTGGTAAGCGATTCAGTCAAAGGAACCACGCGCCTCTCTCTCTCTGGTTCTTCTGTTTTACGCAACCGCGGAAGGATTTATTCAGTTCTTGCTAATTTCGCGTATGAAGCGACACACATACATATATTATGTGCACATGCATATATTTCAGCTCTTTTATTTATAATAAATTCATTTTTAATCGTAATACTTCAATTTCTTCATACAAATTTTGCTTTCGAAAGAATTGCTTTCTTATTCTTCAAAGAAATAAGATATAGAAGAAATGCGAAAATTATATAAATTAGATTATGCACGTGCATATATATTAAATCTTTTTTATTTATAATAAATTAATTAATTATATCGAAAATCGTAATACTAAAATTTTTTGTATTACACGTGCAGGCAAAGTGGCACTTTGTGTGCGTGTTTTCTGTGCGGAAAGCGGCCGATTTCCCACGCCGCCATCTAGCGCCTTCCTCGTGACCAATTGTCAACTTTCCGCACTTGATACACAATATACTATTCATGCAAATTTTGCTATCGAAAAAAAATGGCTTCCTCATTTCTTAAAAGACATAAGATATAGAAGGACGGCGAAAATGATATAAATGATAAAATTCTAATAAATATGCAATTTTGGTACGATCTAATATTGACCTTAATATTTCTCTCGCATAACAAGACACTCGTGTGGAATTTTAATTACCACTCTCATTTCGTTTCAAAAGTATCCCTACGAAGAGAGCGTGTCATACCGATCGTCTGAGAATGCAGCGGCTTTCTCCGGCTTTTTCTGCCTCATCGTCAGCGAGGCCGCGAATCTCGCGGCGGCATAGCGCGAATTCTTGCGGAATTTTTGCGGTTCGACCGTTCGAAATCTTTTCCCCGAAGGAGAATCGGCCATTGGGAAAAGTTCTCAAGATGCGGTCTCCCTCACCGATGAGATGGCCCCGACCCTCTCTTTCGCCTTTCGTGCTTCTAATTAAATAACAACATAATTCACCGTCCTACATTAAGACAATTAAATAACGTTTAAGATTCAACGGCGGCTGCTGCTTTTCCATTATTCCGCCGTTGCCCACGGGGCCTCCCTTTACGCCTTTCGCTTCAACCTCTCGTCCTTCCGTATCGTAATCCCACCACCCTGCCATAAGTCGTCTCCGCTTTCGTCGGACTGTTTTATGATTTTAATAAGAGCTCTTTTATTTCACTGTCAATAGAAGAGCGTTTGAGCTCCGACTTCCAATTTCGCAGGAAACTTTCGCGCCGAAAAGTTTCGCAAACTTATGCACCGTTATCGCAATTCGTGCTGAAATCGCCATTAAATATGAACAACCGGGGCATTTCTCCGCGACGAATTAGGTATTCCATTTGTTGCCGGTAATAAATTAATTTCAATTTTTTTTTTTTGCGTTCCTTGGATTCTAGCAGCGAGATGCGAAATATAATCGATCGGTCGTCTACTTCGGCATAAATCCTCGGTTGTCATTCTAGCCGTTACATTGTCGTTCACTAAATAGTAAACAAATTAAGCGGCTCGCTCGGACCCGACCGCAAATCTGGCATCGCAATTATTGCACCCAGCCGGCTCTCGCACGCCAGCCATGTACATAAACGGGATTTTCGAACTCGTCCATGTGAATTGATTCGTCGCGACACGCGAGGGGGAAAATCGCGATTATGCCAATCAACAATGAAGCTTGTCCACATATCGGTCTCACCGTCGGCACCGGTTACGGGCGTTAATACGATCCCTACGGCAATAAATCCGTCAGTCTGGCAAGAATCATTCAAAATATTAACTTTAACCCGTCATCGTTTCTCTCGAAAAAACTCAAGTCCTATCATGACATTTTATCTCGAAGTGTATTTTCTCTAAGTATAAATTTTAATTAGAAATTATTATGAACAATTAATTTTTAAAAATATTCAGAAATTACATATGTGTATTAATTTATTATCCACTTGTATTGTTTATTCTATAAAATTTACGTATATAAAATTTAAATATTTTCTCGATTGATTTTAATTAGAAATTATATGAGCAATTAATTTTAAAAAATATTCAGAAATTACATATGTGTATTAATTGTAACTAATTTATTATCCATTTATATTGTTTATTCTATAAAACTGGCGTATATAAAATTTAAATATTTTCTGATACACACACACACATATATATATATATATATATATATATATATACATATATAATACAATATACATATTGGAAAATATTTAAATGGCACACGTGAATTTCATAGAATAAACAGTATAAGCGGACAGTAAACTAGTTATAATTAATTCAAATTGCGGTGTGAATAATTTTCATCCACGCCATTTGCATTTACATTGCGCGCTTAAAACGCTGAACATTTCTGCTCTCTCTCTCTCTCTCTCTATGATGTAATCCCGCGTTTACATTGCCCTGTAATCAGCAAGCATTCTCTCGCAACGTTTAACACAACTTATTCTTTGCTCTCGTTTAGGCAAGTCTCACACCATGTTGGGAACTCCGGAAGCTGGTCACACGCTGGGCGCAATTCCTTGTGCAATTGCATGGCTCTTCCGCGGAATTTCTGAGCAACGACAGAGAACAGGCGCTAGATTTAGCGTCAGGGTCAGCTGCGTAGAACTGACCACCGGTCAGCAACAACTGAGAGACCTGCTTGCGGCGCACGCGAACGGTAAGTAATCTTCCAATTAGTCGCGAAGTATCCTCGCGTGAAAAAGCACAAACTTTTTCTTCACATTTCTCCGTTTCTAATTAACGTTATACACTTAGCGCCAATCTACTACAAATGGTATGTTATTCCCTAGGAGTGAATTACGAACAAATTGCTTTTACCGCTTGAAAGAGAATTAGAAAAGAATTTCGATTCGCGATATGTAGAAAATTCTTCGGAAATAAATTAATTAAATTTTATTATCATTAATATACTAGACATGTATAAAAATTATATAAATACTTATTCATTATCATTGGATTTTTTTGTTTGGTTAAATCGCGTAATGATTTGATTTAAAGAGTCGAAGAAATTAATTATTTGCCTAAAACCATCCTCCTTTTTAAGACGCGGGATGGGAGAGTCTCTTTCACAAACAGAACCTAATCTGCTCTAACATTTCGGGAACTATCTCGAGCGTTTTCGCTTTCCCGCGAGAGAGGGTTCGGCGTTTCCCGCAATTAATTCGATGTTTCGAACAATGCGGCTGGATATAATCGTTTAGATTAATTAATGCCGTGGAAGGGTGGCAACGGTAGGCGAATTGTGTGTCGTCGTACCGACGTTGTATTACATCCGGTACACGTATAATACTTGCGCGGTAACTCTACTGATTTTCAGATCATGGTTTCTAATCGCATCTAGGCTCACGACGATCTTCATGTAATCAGGATTAATACATTGTCGCGACAAATATATAATTATTGATTTACATCTTTGTCTCGACTCTCAAAATGTTTCAGGCAAATTCTGATTGCATGTACACACACACACACACATATTAAAAATTTTATGCAAATTAGTCTACTAAAAAATATAATGGATATTGTATACCTAAGATTATGCGCACAAAAAAAATTATATTTTATATATTATGCTAGTACTTTTTGATAACGCAATCTACGAGACGATACTGTAGGACGAATATTCCTTTATCTTATTCTCTGGAGGATTGTCAAAAGAACGACCGAGATCATCCCTACGAATATAGGAACATTTTATGGACATGATCGAGTTTAAAGACAAAGCACGGCCGGACTACATCGCATATCCGCGGAATTCTGCACGGAAATTGCAAAAGCCTGCACGTTCCATTTGCCTGATACGTGCACTCATTCGACTTGATCTCCGAAAACCAGTCGCGAGGACAATACTCTCGAACGTCGAAATTGTCCTTCTTCGACCGAAAATGATGCGTGGAGAATTTCGCGGTAATATTTCGAAAGTAGAATATGAGAACTCGGGCATTGGCCGCAATTTGATTTCGTCTTCACGGACGACCAAGTGGACGACTTGGTCCGTAAAATTGAGGGACAGGATTATTTCCTCCTTCTATTTTATGTTGACTGCTGTCCCTTTCCCCTTCAACAACTCACTTCTCTATTACTCTTGTTATCTGGTCCTTTTTGTGTCATCTCGAAGAATCATCAAGGACTCGCTGGACTAATAAAGAGTCGCGCGTCTTTGGAGAGGGTGGATTGCTATAGTGCACTTGTGGGAATGATCGTCCTGGAGATTGTCCTGAAAATTAACGGGGTTGTTGCGCTCTAGCGTCCTCTCGCTTGCTCCAGAAATGGAATACATAAATTCGAGCAATATTTCTCTGATGTCGCGGACATTACACGAGTTATGATCTAATTTAATGAACCGAACGTATTATTAAAATAAATGTGCGTAATTAGGCATAAACTTCCATTTCTTCTTCTTCTTCTTCTTTTTTTTGACGTACTTCGATCTAATAAAAATTAGAAAATGTCAAAGAAACAAAATAAAATTGTTTTCAAGTTTATAAATATTAATCGATATATTTGTGAATTCATCATTGATTATATTTGCAACTAAAATTTTCATGGATTTTAAAACTGTAAATTCAGAAAGCCACAGCTTCGAACATGCACGCTAAAATCTAATTTTCTACCACGTCGCGAGGCACTCCTGGGGATTTTGCATTTACGAAAATTAAGACGTTTATTAGTATAAATTACCGAATTTTCCTTGAATACGTGCGATGTGCGCATTTTAAGTAAAACTCGCATTGAACGAGTCACTTGAATACTGGCTTAACGATCGCGCCAAACAGCCTTTCCTCGCCTTTCCTCTCAGCTATGCGGACTAATTAAAATGCGATGGAATTAATTTTTCAGCTTATTAAATAATTAACTCGTGTCTATAGAGAACTATCTTGACTTCGTAAATATATCCTTCTCATCTTCGCTTACATCTCTTCCTTTTCTTCTCTCTTTCTTCTTCCGCATCTTATTTCAACCGAAGCTCAGTGGCGTAACGAATTTTTAGAGGGTCTACTAGCAATGAAATTTACAAGCTCTTCAACTATGCATCTTAAGTAAAGAATTATGTTGTTTTTCAAATCTTCGAGTTTATATACCCTATTTTAAATAATAATATAATAATATATTTCTTAAAAATTAAAATAAAAAATATATGCACAAATAATACAGTTCTCTTTCACTCTTTTTTTATGTGTATCCTTATTTTTTTTACTTTTATTTTACCTTATCTTTCTTCATCCAGTTTATCCGTCTTTTTTCCTTTCTCATTTCTTTCTTCACTGTACCTTTCTCTACCTCTTTTCAGTCTGCAAGGACATTAGTTATGCCACTGCCTGCTGCAACCAGCGCGTTTTGCGCTCGAGATTTAAGTCGAGTATAGCAGCACCCTCCAAGAGTTCGCGTTTTCCCCAGGAAACTTGATAATCCCGCCCGGTAATTATTTAAAGTTTTCGACGTCTGGATCTTACGCGAGTACCTCTGACGAGAGGGGAGAGAGTGTCTCCGAACGAAGGTTTACCTTTGTTATTTCTAACTGTATGCAATGGAATATTTAATTAACAGCCTAATGCAATAATTGAGGCAACTTGCGGTGGAATATTTAATACTTAATCGAGCTTAAAACCAGAATAGGCTACTTCTTCTGCCACCGGCTGTTAATAAATGAATGCATTCATAAGTGAGTAACTTGGTTCCCTATCGATTTACATATATATTTTGGCTGTTACGTTCATATATATTGTCTAAATAGAGCCTTCAATATAATTTAAATATGCATGCTCATCATCATTAATATTAAAAATTTCAGAGCTCTTTTTTCCATTAACACACATATAAATTATTAATGTGTAAATGTCGAGTTGCTCAAATTGTTACTAAAAGCGTATTCACTAGTTTATTATATTTAATATATATTTCTATTAAATTTTGGACTGTTATAAAAAAAAAAAAGAAAATCATGCACACAAAAATCATTGTACGCGATTATTATGCAGAGAGAATATCCTCTTTCAAAGAACATTTATAAATCACTGAAGTTCCATCAACACATCTCTAATTATTTAATAACGTAATTATTTCGTGATATTCGGCAGTTATATGCAATAGAACCAAATATTTACAACATTGTAGAAGATATAATACACGTATCAATAAATATGTATCGATTGACAATGAATAATGCTACATAAGCACTAGGAAAAAACCGGCAATATTCATCCGCGTAAATATATTATAACTCGATATTAATCCGCGTGACGCCTACATAAAAAACGATTTTCCCTCATACAGCGGCAAAATAATTCCAAATATGTTGCTTCGTATATACATATATGTGAGCTGTTGATCGGAATAAACCGTTCCCGAGTAGGGAGACAGGGCGAATCAGAGAGTTATCTTTTAAATAATTTATCATTATATTAAAATATGCGATTGCACCAAAGTATCAATGATTTCATATATCGATAACAGTCTTATCCAAAAGTATAATTCACTTCTTACAATCTGCAATAAATCAACTTGGGACTTCAAAATAAAAATGAGCAATAAAAATAAATTATTGTATTACACACATAGTTAATATTTTTTTCACACAATATTTCTAATATGTTTATTTTATATGCTATTAATGATATTGTTATTAATAGTATGCTTTTTAATTTGCGTAAAAATATTAATTTTAATTTAATTTGTGACTTAATATTAAAAATGATGAATATTAACTTGTTAAAGAAATACTCTTACTCTCTTTTTATCGAGATTTTTTCCCATGAAAACGCGGCCAATATTATACATCGTTTATTTGAAAATTGAAAGAGATGGACTTTGAATCACCTTATCCCCGTGTGGTGAACAGAGGATTTCATCCAATCGTATTCATTTTAATCGGCCGTCATGCATATCAACGAACGGAACGGCAAGCAAAAGAAGAGAATCGAGGATATTTTCCGCCCGTTTCGCTTCGCTCACAGCGAGAGAAAGCTTGCGATAATTCTCACCACCCGTTACTGTTTTATATTTCTCTCACGTATCGGTCTCGCGGAGATAAGAACGAAAGTAGAGAATAATAGTGAGGAAACAAAACGTCGAAACGCCACGTCGGCAGCTTTTAACGTGTGTAACATACAAGTGAAACGAGTGAAAAAGCGCACAAAATTTGCAATAGTGCGACGCGCGAGAGATAAAGGAAGATTGCTACACGTTCTGCATTTCGTACTTTCTTCACTGTAGATTCTGTCTCTACTATGTCTGAGATGAAAATGAGTAAAATTACTATTCAACTCGACATGAAATCTATTTCGGACAGAAAAGAAACAAAAATAATTAGTTTGCTAGAAATTGAAAAAGCTTCTTTTAGAGAATGTAGAAACAAATATTAAAATACAAATAATTGAATATTAATGTGATATCAATTCAATACAAAATTTCATATTATATATAAAAACTATCAAAAACATTGCAAATATTAAAAAAAAGTGTTTCTCGTTTTTGTTGTTACATGTTATTGCTTTTATAAATGTAAAGTTTAATTACTTTGTATATTTTTATATTTACACGACACAAATAGTAATCAAATTTTTTAAACTTTTTATCAATATTAAATTTTGATCGATATTAAATTAAATTTTTTTATCGCAGATCTGCATCATATCGCAGGGAATTTCGAAATTCTGG